CCCCTGGGGTTAGAGTTACAGAGGGCTATGAGCCACCATGTGGGTGCTGAGAACCAAACCTGGGTCCTCTGCAAGAGCAGTAATTGGTCTTAACCACTGAGCCATCTCTCCAGAACCCTAAATTAAATTTAAAATAATGGAAAACAAAGCAGCATTAGGACTTTGCTGGGCAGAAAAGGAATGGAATTATGCTTAGAGTGATGGGGGAGTGTATGAAAGAAACACGTGCTGGCTTAACGCAGACTAAAATATCCTGAGACCAGCATCCAGAAACAGATGAGCTTCCAAGAAAGAGACATAAAAGACAGAACTGGAAACTAAAAATAATACAGTATGACTTAACACAGCTCCTGGGGGAGATGAGGCAAAGCACAGTAACGTAAGGGCTTTGGTTTAAATCCAATAGACAGTGGGGCCGGAGAGACGGCTCAGAGGTTAAGAGCACTGGCTACTCTTCCAGAGGACCTGAGTTCAGTTCCCAGCACCCACATAACAGCTATCTGTAACTCCAGTTCCAGGGAACCCATTGCCCTTTTCTGGCCTCTCTGGGTATCAGGCACACATGCACAAAGACATACATACAGGTAAAACACTCATACGCATACAATTAAAGTAAATAAACCCAGTCAGGCATGGTGGCACTCGAGAAGCAGAGAGGAAGGCTGATCTCTGTGTTCCAGGACAGCCAGGACTACACAGAGAAAACCTACCTCCAAAAACAAAGAAATTAATTTTAAAAAAGGAAATATAATAAACAAGACTAGCTACATGAGCCGGACGGTGATGGCGCACGCCTTTAATCCCAGTACTTGGGAGGCAGAGGCAGGAGGATCCCTGGGAGTTCGAGGCCAGCCTGGTCTACAAGAGCTAGTTCCAGGACAGGCTCCAAAGCTACAAAGAAACCCTGTCTTGAAAAACCACACACACACACACACACACACACACACACACACACGCATGCACAAGACTAGCTACGTGGAGGGAGCTGATTACAGAGCTCTGCCAGTTAAAGTAGAGACCCTGGAAGAAAATAGTCCTTAGGAAAAAGATTAAAAACAATCCATTCATTCAGCAAAGAAAAAGCAAGGATGTTTATGTACTGGGGCTGTGGAACCAGAGGCTGGAGAATTCTAAACCCCGTCCCCACTTCATGTGAATTTGAAAGCTTACACGTGTTTCCTGTGTAGTCTGGGAAATACCAGCTTGCCTTCTTCTGAGCTGGAGAGATGGCTCAACAGGTAAGAGCATTGGCTTCTCTTCCAGAGGACCTGACTTTGATTCCCAGCATCCATATGGTGGTTCACAACCATCTGTAACTCCAATTCAGGGGATCTAGCACTTTCTTCTGGCATCAGACATACATACATGCAGGCAAAATACCATACATCGCATGCACACACACATATAAACGCACATCACACACACATACACACACACATACACGAAACTAATTTCAGATTACCATCTGGGATTTCTCTGGAGAAACGTGCCTGATACTTCACACAATGATTCTTAATCACTACTAAATTCCAAATGGCTCAGAAGGTAAAGGTGCTGGCTGCTTGAGCCTGGGGACCTGAGTTCAATCCCCAGGGCCACACAAAAGCAGAAGGTGAGGACGGACTCCACAAAGTTGTCCTTTGACATCTGCATATCATGCATACAAGTATGTATATACAATCATAGTAATGATAAAGCAAAGTAAACACTGGTGCCCAGAATATAGAAAACACTCTCTACTCAGTAAAATTAGTAACACCCCAGGCTGGTGGGGTGGCTCAGCAGGAAAGAAACACTTGCTGTGTAAGCCTGATGGCTTGAATTTGATCCCTCAGACCCATGGTAGAAGGAACTGGCTCCTGCAGGTTGTCCTCTGACTTCTACACAAGAACACGACTCACTTGCATACACAATAATAAACAGTTTAAAAAATTAATCCAATAAAAGGGGAACGGGTAGAGTCAGGGAACAAAGGCAATTCTAATAGGCTCCTGTTTCAGTCCATTACACTTGGCTCTGCTGTTGGGGTACAGCAGAGATTTTCTTATCGCAGTGGCTGGGAAGCAAAGATGAAGGGGCTGGGGATACAATAGACCCTTCAATGGCACAGCTTCAGTTCAGGGCCTGCTCTCATCAAACACACACCCAGCATAGATTAAAAATACAGCTAAAAAATACAAATGGTATGTGTCAGTTCTAGACAGTCTTACTGTGACCCTAGATAGCCAGGCCTCAAATTCACAGAATGCTGGGATTAAAGGCATGCACCTGGCTTCTCAGCTTTCAGCACTGCCAGCCTTCCTGATTAGCTGTGACAAAATGACTGCTCAGAAACTCCTGTTCCCTGACCCTCAGTATTTGAAAACCAGCATCTTACATGTTTAGTGCCACTGTCTCTACCTTAGTGAGTTAGAATGCCTATTTGTGTGTGTGTGTGTGTGTGTGTGGTGTCTAATGACATCTTGCAGGAGTTGGTTCTCTCCTACCATGTGGGGCCCAGGGATCAAACTCATGTCATGAGGCTTTTATCCACTGAGTTATCTTCTCAGTCCAGAATCTTCCTTTCCATTTCCTTTAAAAATAGATAAATAAGCCAGGCGGTGGTGGCACATGCCTTTAATCCCAGCACTCAGGATGCAGAGGCAGGCAGATCTCTGGGAGTTTGAGGCCAGCCTGGTCTACAAGAGCGAGTTCCAGGACAGGCTCCAAAGCTACAGAGAAACCTTGTCTCGAAAAACAAAAACAAAAAGGTAGTGTCTCATCGTCTAGCTTCAACTGGCCTCAAGCTCACTAAGTCTGCCTGCCTCTGTGTCCAGAGTGCTGAACTAAGTGTGTGCCACAGGCGAAGTACTGTTTTATTATTTTAATCATGTATGGGTGTATGCAAATACGCATGTGCCCAGAACTGTCAAATATCCCTGGAGCTGGAACCCTAGATGTTTGTGAGCCACCTGTGGGTCCTCTGGAAGAGCAGCAGTACGTGCTCTGAACCATTAAACTCCCCGGCCCCACTTTATTTCCTTTTTATTGTGATAAAGTCTCTACTGTGTAGCTCAGGCTGGCCTCAAATTCGTGTTTCAGCCAAGTGCTCGATTACTCGATTACATGCACTAAAGCTGACACAGCACTTCCGACCTTCTTCACCATCACCGTGTACATAAAGCCTCTAGAGATTTTTTTTAAAAAAAGATTTTATGTATACAGTGTTCTGCCTGCATGAACGCCTGCAGGCCAGAAGAGGGCACCAGATCTCATTATAGATGGTTGTGAGCCACCGTGTGGTTGCTGGGAATTAGGACCTCTGGAAGAGCAGTCAGTGCTCTTAAGCTCTTAGCCATCTCTCTGACACTCTCTAGAGATATTTTTATAACTTAAATGACCACCAAGCAGAAAACTATTCTGGAATATAATTACTCCATGAGAAAAATCTGGATTAGGACTACTTTCTCCATGGGTTAAAACACAAAAGAGAACTAAGAACATGGCATACCCATGGCTCTGTGGTGAGAACAGGTGTTCTAAGGATGTCTTAGCTTCTCCCAGACTCTCCTTTGTTTGTTGCATTTATCTGCTGAGCAATGTTGCTGTGGCCATTTGTCTTAGAGTTTCTGCTGCTGTGATCAAACACTACAACCAAAAGCAACTTGGGGAGAAAAGGAACTCAGGACAGGAACTCAAACAGGTCAGGAACCTGGAGGCAAGAGCTGATGCAGTGGCCATGAGGGGAGCTGCTTGTTGGCTTTGTCTTCATAGTTTTCTCACCTTGCTGTATCATGTCAACTATCTCTGGAGTCGGAGCCTGTCCTGGAACTCACTTTGTAGACCAGGCTGGCCTCGAACTCAAGAGATCCTCCTGCCTCTGCTTCCTGAGTGCTGGATTAAAGGCGTGCACCACCACTGCCAGACTTCACCCTGTTTTCTTACAGCACCCAGGACCATCAGCTCAGGGATGACCCCACCCACAACGGGCTGTGGTCGTGTGTCCTCCCACCCCTCATTCATCAATCAAGTTAGAAAATGCACCATTAGGTTTGCCCACAGGCCAATACAGTTGGGGCACTTTCTCAGCTGAGGCTCCCTTTTCCAAAATGACTATATAGGGCTGGAGAGATGGCTCAGCGGTTAAGAGCACTGACTGCTCTTCCAGAGGACCCGGGTTCAATTCCCAGCACCCACATGGCAGTTCACAACTGTCTGAAAATCCAGTTCCGGGGGATCTGACACCTTCAAACCAATGCACATAAAATAAAGTTAAGTAAACCATAAAAATATTAAAAAAAAAAAAACAAAAAACCAAAATGACTATATAATTGTGTCAAGCTGACATAAAAGTAGCCAGCACACCAATTAAACATGTCACTTTTTAAAAATATTTATTTATTATGTATACAATATTCTGTTGGCGTGTATGACTGCAAGCCAGAAGAGGGCACCAGACCTCATTACAGATGGTTGTGAGCCACCATGTGGTTGCTGGGAATTGAACTCAGGACCTTTGGAAGAGCAGGCAATGCTCTTAACCACTGAGCCATCTTTCCAGCCCCTCACTTTTTTCTTAAGATATAAAGATCAAAGATGTAGCCATTTTGGCTAACTTTTCTTAGCATGCCGAGACAGAAAATTTTGATGTCCAAATTTTTTTTGAATTAGAATTATTTAAAAAAACTTATTTTATGTATACACCCATACAGGTGACAGTGAAGCCCAAAGTAGGCATCAGATCCTCAGAACTGGAGTTATGGGCAGTTTTGAGCTGCCCTATGTGGCTGGGTGCTAGAAACCAAACCCCTGCAAAATCAGTCTGTGCTCTTAACTGCTGAACCATCTTTCCAGCCCCTAGGGAAAAAAATCTTATGGTGTATGTCTATAAGCCCAGCACCAAGGAGGTTCAGACAGCAGACTGTCAGGTCTGAGGCCAGTCTCGCAGACCCTGTCTCCAAACAATCCCAAATTTAACCAGGGCATTAATAACAGTCACTAAAGAGATAAAGACAGTAGAGAAGAGTTGAAACACTTTAATTACAGAGAGTAAACAATAGTATAAAACCGTTAACAGCACACCTAGTGGCTGCTGCTCTCCACATCTTAGCTCATCCTTCTCCACCCCCTCCCTGCGTACCATTGAGTAAAAAGCAGGGCATGAGTAGTTGTCCCTGTCACTACCAGATGGTAGGAAGGGAAGCAGCTAGAGGCCACAGTGATCCTGGGTATCCAGCCAGAGTTCTTCATCAGGTGAACATTGCTTCCTGCTCCAGAAGAACTGTTCCCAAGGTTCTGAGCTGGATCTGGTGGCACCATTTATTAGATGGACCAGGAACTTAGAGCCTCAAGAGCCGTGGGACAAGGACGCAGATGGTCTGGAGACAAAGATGCAGCCAACGCTGGTTTGAGGTGGGTTCAGAAGGGACTAGGCCATGCCTAGTGGTCCAGAATTGTGCCCCAAACCTGTCGATGAAACTCATCCACATGCACAATGCACAAACACGCAAACACATACAAACACAGAGCAAATAACATTACTGAAAGGACCAGGGGTATTAAATACAAAACAGCAGAGTTTCTTTAAAACACGAAATTGTTTCTTTGATTCTCCTCAGTGCCTTGCAGTCCATCTAGTCGCAGGCCTGCAGATGTGGGGAGGCCCCAAAGAGCGGGTTGCCAACAGCCTTACAAGTCCCATGCTCTTCAGCCCAGTGGCTGCCTCCCATGTGGCCATTCACACAGTTGGCACCATTGCTGGAGCTGCGGCCAGAGAGGTTGTTTGTGTGGCTGGTCTCATCTTCTTCCTCTGAGCTGCTTTCTACGTCACTGCGATCATCCTTAGACACCTGAGTGGGGCAGGACCAAAGACAATAATTATGCCACTCTTCATAGAATCACAGGACCAATCTCAGAAAGGTCACTTTTGCACAGTTTCTGATCTAGCCTATATTCAGGTGATAGCTGATTCAAAATATTATCTAAACCATTGGATGCCACTGTGAATATATTTTGCCTGCTTTTTGTGAGGAAAACTCCAGCACTTTTTCCCTCTTCCACCACAAAGAACTGGAAGGCCAATATAAATGACTTGTCTTGGTTTTATCTCTGATGACCGTGGGCACTGCATTTATTCACCCTAGTTATTCCGAGTTCCGCTTTATTCCCCATACTGATCCATGACACTTTTTCAGTAGTTCTGCTATTACTGGGCTCAACATGAAGTCTTGGCATCCCTAGGCACTGTAAAGTCAAGAACGGGTGGAGAGACAGTGCGGAGTGCTTTCCCAATGCTGACTTTGCTTTTTACATGTGTTTTTTGTTTTGTTATTTTCAAATGAAAGGTTTAGATTACGGATGCATTTTCCAATCAGAAGCCCTGCATAAAGGGTTTCAAATTCTCTATATTGGGCCATAAAATAAAAGGAGAGGAAACCAGTGAAACCCGTGTTAGGACGATGACCCCTTTAACACACAAGCAGCAATGTATGCACTGTTTACAAAGCTCTGCGGTGAAGGGATACAGTTCTAGCTGCTGTTACAAAGGAAGGACATTTGTTTTAGATGAGTTCTGTGACTGCAGTAACTGCAGCTGCTGACTCTGAACTCTGATCAGGAGCTGTGATCACCTGATGTCTAGGGGATTTCCACCAGAGGGCAGAACGTCTCCAAACCTGAGGTGGAAAGGCTCAAAAACAAAACACATTAAAGACTAGACTTAGTCCTTGACTTTGGTAACTTCAGCTCCAGTCAACAACAGTCACATAGGTTAAGCTGGGCAAGTGAGCACATTCTGAGACAGATGGGACCAGGAAGGACAGCGGGAAGGAGACCGAGACAGATGGGACCAGGAAGGACAGCGGGAAGGAGGACCCATTCAGACAGGTACTTCTCTCAACACTAGAAGCACAGATTCACTTACATGCAAAGGATGAAACTGTGCAGATCCCAGCAGGCATAGAAAAGAGGGAGGAGCTGAAAAGAGAGCAGAAGGCACAGAGTCTGGGTCTAGTCCTCCCTGGGTAGGTCACCTAGTCAGAAAAGAAAGGCAGAGGAGAAGAGAGATGTCCAGGAGCTACAACAAGATGCACAGGCACACCACACAAGTCCTGAAACCAATCACAGCCATCAGGAACAATAATGAGAGATATTAATACCGAGGTTACATCATCTGTGCAGTCTGGAACTAACATCTCTAGCAGAGCCTGACCCACTTGGAATTCTGCATAACTGACAGTGTTCTGGTTTGACAGTCTGTCTGCTTTAAAACTTGCAGATTTCAATTATGTCCTGTCATTAAATGGTGCCTCCTGGGGTTGGAGTTAGCTAGGTGTACTGTCCTAAAAGGCAGGGTTATCTTTCTTTGTGTTCTGTGCACTAAAAACCAAACACGTGTTCACTGAAGGCTCCTTCTTCAGACAGTGAGCAAGGCAGATGTTTAGTTCTTAATATAAGCCAATCTTGGGTATTGCAGCATGGTCATCTTAGAATAGCTACCACACAGTTTCTATTAGCTACCACACAGTAGCTATTATTGGGATAAGCATCTGGCTTTCCAGTTTCTATCTGCAGTTCTCCATCGATAGTCATTCTTTTTTTGTTTATTTTTGAGACAGGGTGTCAACTATTCCAGTTTGGCCTCAAACTGACTATGTAGCAAAGGAAGACCTGAACTTCTGATTTTCCTGCATTACCTCCCTAGCACTGGGATTACTGGTATGCATATGGCACCAGGCCTGGTTTATGTGGTACTGGAACCAAAGCCAGGTCTTCACACAGCACTCTAGTGACTAAGCTACATCTGTAGCCCGACTGTGGGCTGCTCCTATAACTGCGGGTCCCTAGGTCTGCTGCGTAATACCCATGCTCCTACATGGTCCAAAGAAGAGCACTTCAGTATTACCTTTCCCCGGATCAAGGCTTTAAAAGCAATTCGTGCAATTAAGTACGACCAGATGACATGCAGAACCTGTAGGATCAGGAGAAGGCCATTGAAGAGCCACCAGGAGGGGTAGGGCCCAATCATTTCCCAACTCTCAAATAGGGTTGTGTTCAGAATCCTAGGAGAAAGAGACAACAGTCAGACTCTAGAGGCCAGTTAGACAGAGGGAAGCTGAGTCCTCTGGACAGTCTTCTGGGCTTCTTCTGCACACTTTACATTAGTGCAATAACAGGAATATTATTTCATAGGGAATAAAAGTAAACACAAGAGCCTAATGTGTTTTTATCTTCTAAGAGGAAGAAATGTAATCTTAGGAAGTGATGAGGTAATTTAATATTAATCACTTCAAATATGCAGCTTCACAACACTGGACAGCAATAGGCCTATAATCAAACCCTAGGAATGATTTAGATTCTTAGGGACAGAGAGCAGTAAGTGGTTGATTTGCTAAGACTAAGCCAAATTTCCAGCACAGTCACTAAGCTTGTAGTCTAGGTAATGAGTATAGAAGAGAATGCGTGCACATGTCTGTGCTGGTCAGGAGGAGGAAGAGGGCACACAGCACAATCAAAGCAAGAAAAGCCGAAATCCCTGTAGCCAATGCAAAAGAGGGCACAGGAGTGATGAGTGACTTAAGCATAGACTGAAGATTGCCAGCAGAAATGAGCAAGAGAAGCCAGAAGTAAATAACGTACACACCCTGACTCACTAGAAACATTGCATAAGGCAGCCAATGTGCTTGCTGTAAGAGTCCACAAAGGGTCAGTCTAGGCCAAGGAAAAGGCAGGGCACTAGGGTTCTTAGTGCTTGACTGGCAAGAAGAGAATAGAAAAACTAAGCTAGCAAAAAGTTATCATTAGATAGCTGCCACAGTTCACCACCTTGAGCACTTACCACAATGGATAGATTCCTAGACGTGTAACCATAAAAACTGCACTAAAGATCACAAAGAGGGTGTCACAGAGCCGCTGATATTTGGCATAATTGGCCAGCTTTGCAGCCTGGATAAAAGAAAAAATTGAGTTGGGGAAAAAGTCAGTTCTCACAGGTCAAGAAAGGGAGAGAGGAAAGATGAAGCAGCAAGTTGGGCTCTTACTTCCAGCAAGAAGTCTGAGGAATCATGAAGACACATGACCAGAGTTCCCACTCGAACCATGTTGTTGATGTAAGAGAAGGTGATAAGCCCAATGGTGGCCAAGTGATGCACAAACATGATCAGGAAGTCCTAGGAAGAAATGGCAGCAAAGGAGAGGCTGGACGAATGCCTGCCACCTAAAGCTCCCTCGGTTCAGCGGTTAAAAGCACTTTGGTTTCCAGCACCCATGTGAGGTAGCTCTCAAGTGCTTGGTAACAGTAGCACCAAAGGATCCGACACCCTCTTCTGGCCTCTGTGGGCACCGGAACTCACACATGGACACATAACCAAATTAACCCTAAAAGTCCAGAGAACTGCTTATTAGCTAAATAGTTCATCTAATTGCAAAGACTTCCGGCTTTTGGGTTTAAGTTCTTTTTCCTTGGGTTCACATGTCAAATTAAAACTGAAAAAAACTTAGTCTTATAAATAAAATAAGTAATTATGTTATTTACACATCACATATATTACACATTACATAAGTTATATATATATTATATCATATAAATAATTATTAGATGCTGTGGTTTAAGTGTGAAGTGTCCCCCCCGATAGGCTCATATTCTAGGTGACTTCTGCACAGCTGCTGAGCTACCTTGGGAGGTTGCAGAGCCTTTAGGAATGGTGGGCCCCAGTTAGCAGCAGGTTAGGGGCTGACTTCTGAAGGCTACACCAGGCCAGTGTCTCCTAGGGCACTTTCCCTGCTCCCGGTAGTTGTCCCACCACTCCTCCTGTGGCCATGAACTGAACTACTGCCACACCTTCCCTGCTAAGATGGAGGAAACTCTCAAACTGTGAACCAAAACCAATCTTTCATCTTTAGAGAGCTCCTGTCAGGGGCTATAGTCACAGTGAAACGAAAGTACCTGAAATAATTAATAAAAACTCCTCTGCCAGTGAAACAGAATGGGAGAAGGAAGTAATATAAAGACTTTGTCCTTGTCGGGTTCAATATATTCACTCTTCTGAATTTTGGTTTTCTAAAATCAAGCCTTTTTCTGAATTGGACCTTGGTACCCCAAGTTGTCTAATTCCCCAAGCTTTGATCCAGAGGAACAGGAGAGCACAGAAAGAAAGAACATACTTATTGATCCACGGCCTTGCTGTTCTCCCCACTGCCCTGACCACCTTAAGCAATGTCCATCATTAGTTAGGTCTCATTCTGGAAACAGCACAGAAAGCTAGTGGCGGTCCTGTCACAGCCACTCTCATGAGGCAGAGTGCATCGTGATGATGGTAGTGCCTGACAGAAGGCAGCTGAGGGGCTGACAACTTACCTTTCTTTTAACGTCTATAAACTGAGAGAACATAAGAGACCAGTAGAAAGCCAGCTCCATGATGTAATAGTAATAAAGCTCTCTTGAGAGTGGCTGGAAGAGAAAAGAGCAGCTAGAACAGCAGCTAGGCAGGTGCACCCCATCTCAGCAGCACCCACACTATTTCTTTCTTTTCCTCTTCACTGTTTCCCAAGATCTGCAATAGCTGAGCCCGGAACAGTATGAATGTCGACCTTTTCCTTTGCGCCCCTGAAAATTCATCTTGCTTCTCACTTCTAGAGATGAGGTAAGGTTGACACAGACACCACAATCTCATCAGTATCTGAAATTCTGGACAGAACTACCTTAGTCCAGTTCTTTCATTTCCCTGAGACTTTTAAGGTACAGACACAGATGTCCTTATGAGGATTCTAATAGCTCCTGGTTTAAAAAGGAACCTGAGTCAGGAAGGAACTTAGTAACACTAGGGAACTGCTTTTCTTTCCAGGATAGTAGAAGACATGCAGAAGCATAACCTGGAATATACGACCCACGGTATCAGGGAACCACATCTTGGCTACCTGTCCTGGACTGACAATGTACTCTCACCACCTTACCTTACACACATATGAGGTCTTGAAACAATTTAGATTTTACCTGATATGGATAATTCTGCCAACACTGTCGGGTGTCCCAGAACCAAGGCGTCTAAGAAAAAAACAGAGAATCCAGGTTAGCCTCTAGTACCGTTCCCCCCCACCCCCTTACAAGATCTACCCTATACAGACCTTTTCTCTAAGCTAGAGGTACAAGAATGAGAAGAACTAGGTGTGGTGGTCCAGTGATCCCAGCACTTTGCGAGGCTGGTACACCAATATCAAGTCTGAGACCAGTCTGAACCAAAAAGCAGGTTAGCAGCCACCCAGGGTTATCTAGCAAGGCATTGTCTCAAAACAAAACAAAACAAAACAAAAAAACCTGTTTTTTTAATTATTATTTTTTATTGCTTTCTTTCTTTCTTTTTTTTTTTTGGTTTTCAACACAGGGTTTCTCTGTGAAGCTTTGGAACTTGTCCTTGAACTAGCTCTTATAGATCAGGCTGGCCTCAAACTCACAGAGATCCCTCTGCCTCAGGTGTGCCTGGCTCCTCTCTGTATTTGAGACTCAGGTTGGTCTTGAACTTACAGAAACCCTCCTGCCTTGGCCTCTCAAGTATTAGATTTTGAGCTGGAGATTAGTCTGGGCTACTAATCTGGACCAGCTTGAACTACATAGTGAGGTCTTGTATCAACAAACCAAAGACTGGCTGGGTCTGGGGATATATACAAAGGCATTGGGGATCCCAAGTCAGACCTTCATGGTTTCATGGGGAGCACCTGACCAACTCAGTTATCGTCCTAGCCCAAAACTTAAGAAAAAGACTCAATATTTATTTATTTATTTAAATGATGGGTATACTTGTGAGTTTGTGCATGTGGATGGGTACCCAGAAGCCAGAAAAGGACGTCAAATTCCCTGGAGCTGGGGTTACAGGTGATTGTGCGTCAACCAATGTGGGTGGCTAGGAATGGAATTCAGATCTACAAGAACAGCATGCATCTTAACCTATGTGCCTCCTCTCAATCTGAGTCCTTGTATATTTGTCTGTGTACAGAGTGCAGTTGCCTGAAGAGGCCAGAGGTGTCAGGTCTCCTGGAGGTAGAGTTTCAGGTGGTCCTCTGCAAGAGTAGTATGTGTTCTCTTTCACTGTATTTTATTTTACGTGTATGGGTGTATTGCCTGCACTTCTGTCTACCACATACATGCCGTGTCCACAGAGGCCTGAAGAGGGTTACAGACAGATGGTTGTGAGCTAACATGTGGTTGCTGGGAATTGAACCCAGATCCACTGGAAGAGCACCCAGTGCTCTTAACCACTGGAGCCATCTCTTTATCCCTAGTAGTAGCCATCTCTCCAGTGGTTGCAACGCTATTTTCTTGTTTGCTTTTTTTGTGACAAAGTTTTACTATGTAGACCAGACTGGCCACAGACCCAGTAATCTCCCTGCTTCTGCCTTCTTAGAGCTATGATTAAAGACACAGGCTACCATGCTTGGCCTAGCTTCTTTTAAAAATTTTATTTATTATTAATGAGTGTGTGATGTATGTGGGTGTATGTGTGTGTGCGCATGCATGCATGTGTACCATGGCACTTATGTAGACATCAGAGGCCATCTTTATGCAATTTGTTCTTTCTTTCTATCTTTATTCCCTCCCATCCCCCACCTGTCCTGGAACTCGCTCTGTAGACCAGGCTGCCTCAAACTCAAGCAAGATACCTGACTGCCTCTGCCTCTTGAGTGCTGGGATTAAAGGTGTGCGCCACCAGGCCCAGCAAATGTTGTTTGTTTGTTTGTTTATTTATATTACTGCTGCTTAATTTTTAAATTGCTCACAAAACTATCTTTATACCTTTCAGTAGTATCCAGAGTCTATAGTGACACTCTGCATATTAGTAATTCATATTCCCTCCCAGGTACTTGATCTTTTTTTTTCTTTTTGAGATGGGGTCTTATTATGTAGCCCAGAATGGCCTTAAACTCCCAAACCTCATTTATCAGTTGATTGAACACTGGATCATGGGCAGACGCCACCACACTTGGTATGGAGTTACTAATTTTAACAGAACCTTTTGGAGAACTAACATTTGGCTTTATCAATTTCATCCATTATTTATCTAATGACTATTTCACTAATTTCTGTCCCCTTAAACCACAGCCCTAGACTAGGTATCACATCCAGGACCTCACTAAGTGAGCTACATTTTCAGTTTTTACTGTTGATTGTTTCTTTTTTTAAAATTTGCTTTAGATTTACTCTGTTCTTCTTTTTCTACATCTTTTTTCTTAAGATTTATTTACTTAATATAACACAACATTCTTCCTCAATGTATCCCTGCAGGCCAGAAGAGGACACTAGATCTTATTATAGATGGTTGTGAGCTACCAAGTGGTTGCTGGGAACTGAACTCTTGAAGAGCAGTCAGTGCTCTTAACCTTTGAGCTGTCTCTCTCCTGCCCCACTTTTTCTACATCTTATACCTTTAAAATTTATTCATGAGTATGTATCTGCCACACATGTGTCAGCACCCAGAGGCTAGAAATGGGTGTTGATTCCCCTAAGCTGGATTTACAGGCAGCTGTGAGCCAAATGACACAGGTGCTGGGGACGAAAAGCAGCAGTTGTTCTTAACCACTGACCATTGCTCTAATTCCTTTGTTCTTTCTTTCCTTCTGTCTTTCTTTTAAATATATTTTTCCCTTTTCTTTGTTCTTCCTTTATAAATTTTACATTTACGTACGCCTTTAATCCCAGCAGAGGCAGGCAGACCTCTGTGAGTGAGGCCAGCTTGGTCTACAAAAGCTAGTTCCAGGATAGGCTCCAAAGCTACAGAGAAACGCTGTCTCGAAAAAACAAAAAACAAACAAACAAAAATAATTAATATAAGCCAGGAAGTGGTGGCACACACCTTTAACCCTTTAACCCCAGCACTCGGGAGGCAGAGTAGGGTGGATCTCTATGAGTTTGAGGTCAGCTTGGTCTACAGAGAGAGTTCCGGGACAGCAAAGGCTACACAGAGAACCCTGTCTCAAAATAAATAAATAAATAAATAAAAAATAAAAAAAAATTCAAGCACAATAGTATCTTGCTTCTAAATCCAGTATTTGAGAGGCTGAGGCAGGAGGATTGTCATGAGTTCAAGGCAAGCCTGGAGTTCATAATGAGAGCTGCTGCTGCTTCTTTTTTTTTTTTTTTCCCGTTTATTTTTCAAGACAGGGTTTCCACACCACTCTTGATCCACAGCTTGTCTTAAAACAGAAACATTTTGGGAGCTAGGGCCAGAGCTCAGTTGGTAAAGTGTTTTCTATCCAAGCCTGAGAGCCTGTTAGAAACCTCAGCTACCACATAAAACACCAGAACTGTGCAACTCCAACAGTGCACAAGGGCAGGTGAGGGGCAGGGAAAGTCAGGTAAACCCTGGGCTTAGTGAGAGAGAGAGAGCCTGTCTCAAAAATTAAGGTGAGGCGGGCATGACAGTACAAGGTTTTAATCCTAGAACTTTGGAGAAAGAAGCAGTTCCAGGTCAGCCTAATCTAACTTGCAAGTTCCAGAGCCAGCCAGGGCTACAGAGGAGACTGAATTTCAAAACAAAACAAATAAATAATTATCAATTCCATTTCCTCTTGGAAGAACAAGAATTTAAGGAAGGGCTCTGCAAATCACTAAGTACAGTTCTGACTTAATTACTAACATTATTTAGAAGAAATAGTAGGCCTTGAGGTTAGTGACGTCAAACCCAAGGTAGACAATAGTCTGTTAGTATATATCCTGCATATAATCTGCATATAAACTGGATATACACTGAGGCTATGCATCACAACAGAAAAATTTAAGAAACATAAGCAACTGAAAGTATTTAGTGTTTACTTCTAGAAACCAAGGCATCTAGACATATTTAGAGCACAATAAGAGGAAAGAAAAAGTTTAGACTCACCAACCAGAGAAATCTAACTCCATAGCAGAATATACATAAATAAAAAGTGAGTCTCCACCTGGGTGAGCAAAGAGTACAGGTTAGATAAATGAATGCTAAACAAGGGAAATCAGAATAACAACATTGGGACAAAACTGATCTCTAAAAATCCAGACTCATCTTGGAGTGCCTGTTAAAATAGATTCCCAGAGAAACACACTGGCTTGATTTTCTTTTCCTATTAGATTCCTTCATAAGACCTGATTTTTAAATTGCATGACAGTGACTAACATCTATTTCTAGAGAATTAAAGACTCTGATTCTGGGCGTGGTGGCACACACCTTAAACCCCAACATCCCAGCACTTGAGAGGCAGAGGCAGGTGGGTCTCTGTGAGGCCAGCTTGGTCTACAGATTGAGGTCCAGGGCAGCCAGGGCTACACAGAGAAAGCCTGTCTTGAAAAACAAAACAAAAACCTGCACTTGTCTAGGTAGGTATGTACCCTCCTGCTCCTTCGATAGAAACAGTACCAGCTCACTCTATATTTACATTTTTGTGGGAATTTTTCCTTTTCTGGGAAATATTGTACTTGAAATCAGAGTTCATTTGGTTTTTCAATGCAGAGATCCTCTTGCCTCTGTCTTCCAAGTGCTGGGATTAAAGGTGTGGGCCACCAACGTGTACAAGTGCAGTTATTGGAACTAACTCCCAATCCCCCCCCCTTTTTTGTTTTTTTCCTGAGACAGGGTTTCTCTGTAGTTTTGGTGTCTGTCCTGGAACTAGCTCTTGTAGGCCAAGTTAGCCTCGAACTCACAAAGATCTGCCTGCTTCTGCCTCCCGAGTGCTGGGATTAAAGGCGTGTGCCACCACTGCGTGGCTCCCAATCTATTTTTTAAAAGATTTATTGTTTGTTTATTTATTTCCTTTGTTTTTCAAGAAATAAGGTTTTCTTTGTAGCCTGGCTGTCCTAGAACTCAAACTCACTCTGTAGATCAGGCTGGCCTTAAACTCAAGAGATCCATCCACCTGCCTCTGTCTCCTGAGTGCTGGGATTAAAGGTGTGTACAACCACACCCAGCTTATTTCAGTTTTCTTTAAAATTTATTTGTTTGTTTATTTATTTATTTATCTATTTATTTATTATGTATACAATATTCTGTCTGTGTGTATGCCTGCAGGCCAGAAGAGGGCACCAGACCCCATTACAAATGGTTGTGAGCCACCATGTGGTTGCTGGGAATTGAACTCAGGACCTTTGGAAGAGCAGGCAATGCTCTTAACCTCTGAGCCATTTCTCCAGCCTTTATTTCAGTTTTTAAAGTGTGTGTGTGTGCACGCGCATATGCACATGAGGGTTTGCACATCTGAGAACAGGTACCCAGAGGCCAGAGGACTCATGTCTGGGTCTGGAGTTACAGAGGGTTGAGCTCCCTCGAGTTTGGCTCCTCTGGAGGAATATAATGGATATCATGTGCTATTGAGCCATCTCTCCAGCCCATTTTTTTTTCTTTGAAGATAAGTAGACAGGGTCTTACTTTTTATCCACAGCTGGCCCTGAAACTTGGGCATAGACCAGGCTGACCTTGAACTAGAGACCACCCACCTCTTCCAAATGTGTGTGTCAACATGCTTATCTCAATCTATTTGAAAAGAAGGAACAAAAAGGAATCATCTTGTCTTAGTGGAAAGTGTGACCAGGGGAACAAATGTGACCAGTTTCCCAGTTCTCTTTTTTCCTATTTCTATGAGGGTTCTGCTGTTTACTTACTTAGCAGAGCTGGTTGAGAAGCACAGGACATAAATTCTATTTCCATTTCCCCTTGGCTTTTTAAAATCTTATCTTTGGCATTAGAGTCTATGAACTAATTTCCACCCCCAAAAGTCCAGCTGTATCCCCACCCTTTTCATTATCTACCCCCCTGCACACATACATGCTTTCACAGAATTTAGTCAGCGTTGGAGGCTTGTCCTGATTCCTCCGATGGCGAAACCAGCACTGGATTTTTCGGACATCCCAGTCCAGTTGCTTTGATAAGCCCTCCAGCCTCTTCTCGTCGGGGTACTGTGGACATGTGACCAGAGTTAGAGCACTCCTTTCTGCACAAGACTCCCAATTTACTAGCTGAGTGGCAAAGAGATGTCAACCACAGTGATTCAAGTGGTATTTATCTTTTCCAGATTTTATCCCCAAATCTTTTTTGTTTTGTTTTCAAGACAGGGTTTCTCTGTGTAGTTTTGAAGCCTGTCTTGGAACTTGGCTCTAGACCAGGCTGGCCTTGAGCTCAGAGAGATCCGTCAGCTCTTGCCTCCCAAGTGCTGGGATTAAAGGCGTACACCACCACCACCCGGCCCCAAATCATTTTTAAATAAAGTCACTATATTCTAATTATCTTACAAATAAAAACATCACACAGCTAGTTTAAGGAAGTTGAAGATTTGTCCAATGTCAAACTCTATACATCTTGATAAGCTTCTATACAGTTGCAATGGCAATTCTATTTTTCTCCCCCCTCTCCCAACAGGGGTTCTCTTTGTAGCTTTGGAGTCTGTCCTGAAACCCGCTCTGTAGATCAGGCTGGCCCTGAATTCATGGCACTTGGGAGGCAAAGGCAGGCAGATCTCTGTGAGTCCTCTATGAGGACAGGCTCCAAAGCAACACAGAGAAACTCTGTCTTGAAGAAAAAAAAAAGGAAAAAAAAAAAGCCGGGGGATGGAGGTGCATTCCCAGCACTCGGGAGGCTGAGGCAGGCAGATCTCTGTGAGTTCGAGGCCAGCCTTGTCTATAAGAACTAGCTCCAGGACAGGTTCCAAAAGCTACAGGGAAACCCTGTCTTGAAAAACAAAACCAAAACAAAACAAATTTTAAAAACAAAACAAAAAACTGAAGCTGGAGAGATGGCTCAGTGGTTAAGAGCACTTGTTGCTCTTGCAGAGGACCCAAGTTCAATTCCCAGTACCCACATGGTAGTTCACAACCACCTGTAACTCAGGTTCCAGAAGATTCAAAATATATGTATATGTGTGTGTTATATATGTTTTGTATATGTATATGTGTGTGTATGAACACACATATACACATATAAAACATATATATGTTAAAACACAAACAAAAATCACAAAGGCCACTAGAACTACCCTCATCTTGAATAGAAAGTTGGTGCAAGAAAAGGGAAAATAAGACAGGATTTGAGTTTAGGGTGGAGGAATTCAGGTAGAGATAGATGCTAAGGAATAAATTAAGAGTGAAGTACAAGAGTCCCGGCTGGAGAGGCTAAGGCTCTCCACTGAGCAAACCACCCAAACCTGAAGAACCATCTCCTTTTCTCGCATGTTCTATTCCCACCTACAGAGCAACCTTCATGCGACTTTTGACTCTTGTTCTCTGCTTACTTACCTTAGTAATAGATAGGAACACCTTCTCAAGGGTGTCATTGGATTCAACACGATAGAGAACACTATCTTCAATGCCAACATGGAGTGCACAGGGTTTGGCAATAAACCTGTAACAGAAAAAAAATTGAAGGTTCAACTCTAACTGATTTGCTATGTCATGATCAGGGAGGGACTAATGTGAGAAAAAAATGGAAGCACAAGACTTGGAATTAGAAATTTGTTATTTGGTTTCATAATCTGTCACTGACACACTTGAAAAGGCTCATTTTAAAATGGTAGACTGGACCCTGCATGGTGGGGCACACTTTTAATCTCAGTACAGGCAAAATCAGGTGCCAACCATGGCTACAAAGAGAAACACTGTCTCCAAAACTAACAAAAAAGCAAAAAAAGCAAACAACAAAAAACAAAAAATAGTTGGGCAGTGGTGGTGCAGGCCTTTAACCCCAGAGTTCTGGAAGAAAGAGGCAGGCAGATCTCTGTGAGTTCCAGAACAGCCAGCTATACGGAGAAATCCTATGTTGAAAAACTACAAGAAAGAAAACGAAGAGTTTAGATTGCCAAGTGTGGTAGTGCACTAAGTGGCTCACACCTTTAATTCCAGCACTGGGGAGGCAATCAGGTCTCCAATTCCAGGCAAGCAATAGTTACAAAGATCCTGTCCCCTAGATACTACTACTACTACTACTACTACTACTACTACTACTACTACTACTA